ATAATGCTAAAAATCTAAATGATTTCTTGAGAATTTGTTTGCATTGGAAAGTCAAATATTTCTTTGTTTCTTAGTATGAATTCAATATTATTTGATTTGAGGAATATTATTCACATAAATATTAAGATTAAGAATCATAAGAGCAAAACAGTTGTGACAGTTCTATAAATCAAAGAAAATGTTAAATTTATGCTATGCAAATTTCATATTGATTTATTTAAATAGATAAACATAGAAAATAGTGTTTTCATAAACCATTAAAGTGGATTTAAAGTTGTGCATTTTTGATTTACTGTCTGAAAATCTTCTCTTCTGAAATTTGCCGTTAAAATTACAAAATTCAGAACTGACTATTTCAAATAGAAATTCAATAACTAGTTCTTTAACATTTGTCTATTATACCACTGTGTTAAAAATCAAACATAATTGCATTTATGCTTAAAAAATATCGTCAAGAAATATAAACTGATGATAGTGCAAATATTTAATGTAATGTAATATTGTTATAAATTAAAGAGAAAGAAAAGGAAAATATCCAAAATGAGGTTATTTTATGAGGTATAATTTCATTTATGCAAAGTTGTATGATTACATACTAAATTATTTAGATAGAATATTGCTAGGAATTATTCATTAGAAACCTTGTGATCAAGATTTTCATCATTAAATTTTAGTCTCATTTTGCAGCATTAGCCTAGGATTTTAATTTATTAATAATATTTATATATATATTTAAAAATTTATATATTCACATTAACTGCTAAAAATTGGTATTTCAACAATGGCTATATAAATAAATAAAAATGAAATACTTCACATATTTAGTTAAGGCAATATTTGTTACACATTCAAAATATTTCCATTTCCTGGATTTCATTTAGTATACTGTAGTTCAAAACATTAACAAACATAGTATTGTTTAAAAGGTATGGAATCAAATCTAAATATTCTACTATGCAGAATTAATTAATCTAATAACATGCATTAGTAAATTGTGTATTGTTAAGAAATTTAGATTATTACTTTAGTGAATTGCTTCATTAATAATTTTCACAGGTGCTGTAAAAATTACTCCTGCCCATGATCCAAATGATTATGAAGTTGGAGAGAGGCATAAACTTCCTTTTATCAACATTCTAAATGATGATGGAACTTTAAATGACAACTGTGCTGAGTTTGCCGTGAGTTGTGAATTACCATGAATGTATTTATTTAGCATTATTTGAGTTGTTTTTAAGAAAATTTTTAAATGTTACCATTTTAAACATATTCATATTTTTTTAAAAAAAATTCAATTTTATATTTAAAATACATACATGATATTAATATACTGTTTTAATGGAAAACAGATTTGGAGTAAATTGTTATTGATATAATTTTATTTATACTAAAGTCTAAATAAATTGTATAATGTCTCTCATCAAGTTCTGTAATTTTCTTCTTTTTGGGGTAAGAAGTAATAAGACTTTTAGAATAATTCTTTGATAATTATATTTGAGAAAAGAAGTGAGAAAGCATATTAAGCAGAAGTTTTTAATTCCAAAGATTATGGAATAAGCTATTTTGTAAATTTTAGAAATTACTTTGTTTTCAAATGTCCATTGATAATTTAAAAAAGTGAATTATTCGGGAAAAGATAACAAATATAAGATTCCAAATGTAGGCTAATTTATAAAGCATAATGTTGTTTTATGCTGTGTATTTGAAATGTATAATTTAATAAAGATATATTTATATATATTGAGATTTACTTAAAATAATTATTTTTCAATTTGTAATATAGGTACAGTGGACAAAATATAGTGTTAATATGTGTGGAACTAGTACAATCTTTGATTTATGGATAAGGTGTAAAGTATTTTATCTCAAAGATTTTAAAATCAAATGAAGTGAATTCCTTACAGTTTTGAATATTAAAATAAGAATGATCTTGTTCATTGCATTCATGATAATTTTTGTCATATGTCGTTGGTTATGCTTAGCTAAAAAATTATGAATCTTCCAAATATTTTATCCTTGCTTGTTGTTTTAATTGAATTGCAACTTGTGTATTAAAAGAATTTTAGAAAAATTAAGAGTAACGGGCTATTTACAGCAAGTTTTTAAAAGATGAAATTTTCATTTTCAAAAGTTTTGGGTCGCATTTTTCAAAATTAGCCTTTTTTTTTGTTCTCTACAATTGAATGTTTGATTCGTCAACGTTAAACAATCTTACCATGGATGCGGTAGCCGAGTGGTATAGGTATCGAATCCTGGCTTGCCTTGTCACGAGTTCGAGCCCAGTACCACCAAAGACCCGCCGTGTAGGGCTGCAATGCACGTTAAATTTGTTGAGAGCTGAAACGTCCTCCCATTGTTGTGGTGTGGTTGTTAGGAGAGGGGGTGCCAGCTCAGGTGTCGTCCACGTCACTTGACAGTGGTTCAAAATTACATGGTTCGTCGCCAAAAGCCCTTGTGTAGCTGAACAGTGCGACGTTAATATTCAATCAATCAAAATCAGCCATGTAATTTACACACTTTTGCTTCAATATCACAATATTTGAACTTGAATATTTTCTGAATGAAACAGCTCAGTTCAAGACAGGATGCAAGATGACGCTACCAACTAGCAACTGTAATATCTTTCCGAGGTATCGAATTCGTTCTTGAACGTAATTGGACAAAGCTAATTGAAGCTGAAATACGTCAGCCGAGTTGCTAAAGCTTTCAGCACCATCTGCTTATTTATTTTATAAAACATAAATGGTATTTCTTTCAAAACTTTATTGTAAGCTTTTCTGATGAAGAATGTTTTTTATTACATTATCCGCAGCAGCATATAATACGCACAACGAAATTTGAAACTTTTTAATCTCATAATCGGCTGATTATATACAGGAAAATGCAGTATTTTATGTTAGAAATAGGATGATTCTTATTTGTGCGAAAGTATTTTATAAATGTCAGTGATTTAAAAATATCTTTTATCATATCCTTTCTGTTAAATCAACATGTCCATCTGATAGATTCTTAAAAATATCAGGTATAATTTTCTTCTTTTTAAGTAAATGAACAGGTTTTTATGTAGGGAATGAAAAGATTTGAAGCTCGATCAAAAGTCTTGGCAGCATTGAAAGAAAAGAACTTATACAGAGATACTAAAGACAATCCCATGGTTGTTCCTATATGTAGGTAAGCATTATAAGGTTGAATTATATTGTAGTATAATTTTATTAGGTTCAACACATTAAAGGGAATATTTCTTTTCTTTCTTTTTTTTTTACTGATCTTTATAGAAATATTAAAATTATCAATTTCAATGCCTTATTTTAAATTTGTTGCATCTTATTTTTTCACTTAAAGATGTTATCATAATAAAACCTACTTTTAAGTATGTCTGAAAAAAAGTAGATAAATATTTGAGTGATATGTAATTAAATTTTTCAATATTATTTTCATATTCATATACAATTTATAATTTCAGTCGCTCAAAAGATATTGTGGAACCCATGCTTAAAGTTCAGTGGTATGTGAAATGTGAAGGAATGGCTCAAAAAGCTTTGGAGGTATGCGTAATTTAATAATTATAGAAATTTCAGAAAAGTCAACATCTTTAATTTGTTTTTAAAGAATTTTGTTCTTTCTGTTACTTATTATTAGTGCTTTTTTTAATAGATCATGGTAAAAATCTCTTCATTTATGTAATTTTTTTTATGGATTTTTTATGAAATACATATGAATTCTAATGGTAATTTTAAATCTGTGATTGTTTTTACTATAGAAATTTTATCTCCAGTGTTAAGAAATAAACTGCATATATCAAATTTGCTTATTTTGTTTTCACAATTATTATTTATTTTTTAAAGTGTGTTCTTGCTTGTAATTACTAGTAAGTTTTGCTTTAAATTATTTTTCTTGATTATAATTACTTATAACTTAATTTAATGCATCCTTTGCTATGTATTATCCATGTTTCAATTAACATGTGATGTAATGAACTGTATTAATGTTTTCTAATGAATTTTGTGCATAATATTACAATGATAATCATGTTGATTCTTTGAAGGGGAAAAAAATACTAAGTTAGAAATTTTTTTATAGGCAGTCAATAATGGTGATTTAAAGATTATGCCAGAAGTTCATATTAAAATATGGAATCATTGGTTGGAAAAAATTAGGTATGTGTAAGATTTTAATTAAAAATTTTAAAAAGAAATATTTTTAATACAAATAAAACAATCCTCCTGAGTTTCAAACTATTTTTCTGATCATGTGTATTTTATCAAATACAGAGATTGGTGTGTTTCAAGGCAATTGTGGTGGGGCCATAGAATTCCTGCTTATTATGTCACCATTAAAGGTAGATCTGAAGCTGGAGATGCGGTAAGATATTTATTTCTTATTGTTTTCATGTTACTTTTCTAAGCATTTTCAAGCTCAGTCTTGTTTTTAAAAATTTAGTTTGTACTTTGTTGGGTATTCAAAAATTAAAATTTCTTTTTTCAATGCTGTATTTTTCTCTATTGTTTCCTAGAAAGAATTAAATTAATTCATTACAGGTTGGTTTTTTGCTAATAGTATGTGAAATATAAGACTGTAAGAACAATTAATGCAGGAAGAAATTAGTTTCCTCAATTCACTAACATTGATTTAAATAATTGAAATTTGGAAATTTAATCCAACCTATTCCATTGATAATGTTTTATTTTGGATTTTTTGTATTGCAAGGAATTTCACTGAAATAAGGTACAATTCTCTTTAAAGTCAATTCCTGCTTAGGTCAACAAAGAAAAATTTTATTTTAGTTACTTTTCATTAAATAATTACAATTAATATAAATATGTATATACATATGATAGAATCACAATATTAAGTGACAAAATAGAAAGGGAGTTTCCTTGCAATTTTCCTTTCTATATATGGTGTTGGATTATTATTTTGTTTGTTACTATTTATTAATTTAATTTAATTATTCCAATAAAAAGTATAGTAAAAAGAAATCACATTCTCAGAAATTAGGCCATCCCAGGTAAGATTCTAACTTATGACCTCTGGATTAGAAGTCCAAAATGCTATCCATTGCATTACAGGGACACAATGAATGATTATCCTTTTTATATATGGTGTTGGACTATTATTTTTGTTTGTTACTATTTATTCATTAATTAAATTAAATTAATAAATTAATATTTGAGAAAACTATTAAAATCTAGTGTCATCCTATACAAGTTTTAAAAAAAAATGTATTTGAACTTGAGTGGATGATTAAAAAGTATTTTATTAACGATTAAAAATTTGAAGATATATATATAAATAAATACAGTACAGTCCCGATAATCAGAACAATATCGGACCCACCCCTGTTCGGATTACGTGATTGTTCGGATTAGCCGGAGTAACAGCGAAATCACTATTTGAACCGGGAGTACGGGTCTATTGTGTCTATGTATTTTGTCGTAATGTGAGCGTACGCGCCCTGCTTTTTGCCGCGTGGACTGTACTCCCAATCCTCGACGCGTGTGTCCTCCCTACACCACTCCTAACTTAGTGTGTCAGTGTGACTGCGTGTGCCCGTACTGTTGGCCGTCAGTCGTTCCGCGCGCTGTTCTACACTCCGTCCGCTTTTGTGTCTGTGTTAATAACAGTGTTACAGTGTGATATTCTACAGTGAAAACCGTTTGTTGTGTGTTTTGGACATTTATCTGTGATGCAGTGTACGTAAAGATTGTTATGGCGAGTAAGCGTAAACACTCAACACTTACTCTTAAAGACGAACTAGAGGTTCTAAAGCGTTTAGATAAAGGTGAAGGTGTGACACAAAAAATTGGCTACAGAGTTTAATGTTGGCAAAGCTACAATTTGTGATTGGAGAAAAATCGCCGAAAGCTTGAACAATACTGTGCTAATTCTTCTGGCGAGACTCTTGAAAACAGACAGACAGCAAAGCAATCTCTGTACGATAAAGTTGATAATGCGCTTCATATTTGGTTTACCCAGGAAAAACAAAGAGGAACCCCCCTCAGTGGGCCTATCATTCAAGAAAAGGCTATTCAATTAAATAAATTAATGAACGGTGATGCCTCTGCGTGAATATTAAATAAAGAACTGTTTTGAATTAAGGTTTACACTGTTTTATATTGAAATATTCACCGATTTTTGTCCTTAAAATTATAAAAAATTTTCCGTGGAGCCGTTCAGATTAACCGGATGTTCGGATTAGCCGTGTTCGGATTAGCGGGACTGTACTGTATATATAGGAAGAGTGTGTGTGTGAACTAATGATAGGAATTGAAAAAGTTTTGCATTATGAAAAATTTGAATTAATTTATTTTTTTACTGAAACAGGTACACTATGAGCTACACATAATGCTTGGGCAAAATTACTAAATAAGATGTAAAGTATTATTTAAAATATATTTAGCATTTTTTTCATTTCAGGAAAGTGAAAATGAACGTTGGGTAAGTGGTAGAACAGAAGCCGAAGCTCGAGAAAAAGCTGCTAAAAAGTTTAATGTTGCCATTGAAGATATTAGTTTGAGGCAAGGTTAGAAAATCAAAGGATTTTTAAAAATAAATCTGCTTAAAATATTCTGAATGAAAATAATTTGTAAATCTTGTATTTCAGACGAAGATGTTCTTGATACTTGGTTTTCTTCTGGACTTTTCCCCTTTTCCATATTCGGCTGGCCTAATGAAGTGAGTTAATGTGGTTTGACCATGGTACCTCTATATTGAAATTTATATGTATAAATTTTTCATTTTCATTGTATTAGGAATAGTAAGGTTAGATTTTTTAAAGTTGGAGTAATTTTCTCTAAAAATTTAGAATTATTATTTTAAAGGAGAACATTTAACATTTGTGTAATATTTTTCCCTAAAAATGCAATGCTAATTGTAATAATTTCAAATTTTCTGATTTAATGTGTCAATTTTCTATTTATATGTTTAAACATTTTTAAGTTGTTTATAATTAAACAAATTTAATTATTGCATCCAAACTGTTTTTGGTAAAAACTTGAGATGTGTGACTTTTTATGTAGCATTCTTTTTACGTGAATTTCTTTATTTTGTTAGACTAAAGACTTAAAAGCATTTTATCCTGGTACACTTTTGGAAACTGGACATGATATCCTATTCTTTTGGGTTGCTCGAATGGTGATGTTAGGAATTCAACTGATGGGAAAGTTACCGTTTAGAGAAGTAAATACATAATTATATAGTTTTTAAGAAATTTCTAAAAAATTAGGTATTCAAAAAAATTTCTGAATTTTTTTAAAAAAAACTGTGTAAAACAAATAGATTTTGTCTTTTTTTAGGTGTTCTTGCATTCAATTGTCAGAGATGCTCATGGTAGGAAGATGAGTAAATCATTAGGCAATGTAATTGATCCCATAGACATGATTAACGGAATCTCTCTTGAGGTATTCTTGAAGTTTCTTAAGATTTATGATTTTTATTGCATTTAAGAGCTGTAATATAATTTTTCCCTCACTATTTATGGGGTTATGATTGTGAAGTCATAGCTGGCATTTTTTTCTGTTGAGTCTTGGTGTCACTAAAGACTACCTTACAGAGGGACTGAGAAACTTATAAATCCGTTTGGGTTCAGAGTCCTCACATTGGCTTGGTGTAGAAGTTTATTGAGTTAGGTGATAGCTCATTACCCTATCTGGCTCCCAGTTATTTGGATATGGCTCAAAATTACAAGGTTTATCACAAATAATCCTCATGTTGCTTCAGAGTGTGATGTTAATATAAAATCAGTCAATCTGTATTATTTGTTCAGGTTTATTTTGTCCATAACCATGATTTTATAAATTCAATTTTAATTGAAAACAAATGTTAATATAAATAATTATTTGTAATTAAACTGTAAATTGTTTTGTGTTCACATTACTAAATTTCTTTTCACATAAAATATTTAATTTTTCACAAGTTAGGGTGAACTTAAATGAATATCCCAACTTAGCAGGACTATAAAAAGAAAACAAAATAAAAAGTACAACTTTGTTTATTGGATATCAAAATCAACAGTTGAAAGTTTAAATTCAACACAATTATAAGTGTTCTGTGTGAATTCCTCTAGGAGTACGAATGCTACCAAGGTGATATGACAAGCTCATTCCACATTCTTTTTAGCATGTCTAATGTAATGGCTGCAGATATACATTTTCTAAGTTTGTCAATGTCAGTTGTAATCCCTGAAAAATAATTTTACAGAATGATGTCAAGGCTTCAAGTAGATCATTGACAAAGTACAAGGCCCTGGGGTATTTGGTAATGAATCTACCATTGTGGAAGTCTTAGTAAACTTTAAATTCCCCCTTGATGAACAGCAAGGTTGGTTTTTAAAAACCCATCAAAGTTGGAATGTTTATTATTTACAACCTTGCAAATATATACAGTCCCTGGCCAAATTATTAGACGCACTATATAAGATTTTATGAAAAATGTTAATTATCGTGTGATACTATACAGTTTTTTTTGTATTCATCAGATACAGTGTGTGTTTTTTGGTTGTCCATTTAATAATCTATTATTATCACAAATAAAACATCATTAAAGAAAAAAATATGTATTTATTGGCTCTTGAAAGAAAACAGGAACAATTATAATTAAATATTAATATTTTGTTGAGCCACCTTTAGCCGCTATGAGAGCTTCAATTCTGCGCAGCATGCTATCAATACAAGACTGTACTGTCTCCTGCATTTGAAGATGATGATTGCACACGTGAGTTATTCTTTCTAAGAGCTGTGTTTTATTTGTAATCACATCTTTAGCCACTTCTCTTTTCATTAACTCCCAAATGTTTTCGATTGGGTTCATATCAGGGCTATTACCCAGCCAATCCAACAAAGGGATATTTTGTTCTGCCAAAAAAGGTTTGACAGACCGAGCTGTATGGCATTGAGATCCATCTTGCATAAAAATGTATGGTTCTCCATTTGGAAACCATTCTTCCAGCTGCGGAATCAAGCAATTTTGCAAGACATCTTTGTACTGGTCTATCCGCATTATACCTTTAACCACGTACAGACGTCCAGTACCGTTGCCGCTGATGACTGGCCAAATCATCATTTTTTTGTAGGGTGTTTCACAGTCTGAACAACACAGAATGAAACTTTTCTCCATCACGACGACGTACAAACTGAGTTTTGTTCTGCAAAATTTCAAATGTTCTTTCATCACTGAAGCAGACGTGTCAAAAATAAAAAAAAAAATAATAAATAAACATTTTTGCTGTTCCTTCTATAATAGAAAATGGTTAAACACTTTGTTTGTGAATAAATTATAACAACATACCGATCTCCAGAAGTACACATCTTTATCACACCAGTGTTTGGCCCAATTCAGACGCTTTGCTTTTGTTGCAGGGGTTAACTTGGACTTCCTGGTGGGGCGGCAGGTCTTAAAATTTAAATCTTTTAATTTTCTTCGAACAGTGCGTTCAGAAGCATTCACCTTAATATCTTGGAGTTGCGATTTTATCACTTTTGAAGTAGCAAATCTGTTTTCAAGGCAAATTTTCTTAAAAGATCTTTCTGACCGTGGGGAGAAAATAGGCTTTCTGCCGTATTTTTTCTTTCTTTTTGGACTCAATTCTTCCCCTGGCTCAATTTTCTTCTTTATGCGTCATACACTAACTTCAGAAACTTTCAGCTTTCGTGATATTTCGCAGTTTGAAAACAATTTTGCATTCACAAGGGAATTTACTTCTGCTTTCTTACATAGTGAAAAATCGCCTTTTTTACCCATGCTGAAAGTGTACAAACTGATCATTTAAACGCTGCACACGAAATAAACAAATAACTGCGTAAAATAAAACTGCTAAATTAACAAACAAAGCACATTAACCCACAGAAACACGTCCGCAACTGAAGCATGCGCGAACGCGACTCGAGCAGGTTTTTGACTTGTTTACGTTCGTGTGACAATTTATTAAATTTGTGTTGCCATGTGTGAAAAATAAATACAAATACAAAATATATCAAATTTACTCATTTAAAATCCATTGGATATATGTTTAAATACAAAAGTATTGCATATAAACTTATATAAATCAATGAATTATTAAAAAACAGGAGTGCGTC